CACCCTGACGTGAGTTTATTATTATCACAGCATATACAAAAACAATCAGCAGGCTAACTTGAGTGACAGCCCGTGTAATAAAGGAATTCATCGTCAAAATGTCACTAGCGGCCATTTTGGGATACGAAACAGGGCCTGATTAACGATAATTTAGGTTTTTTCTTTCCTGTGACAGAGTCGTATTGGCTTTAAATAAACTAATTTATTATTACTTACATATAATAATGTTTATAATTACTAATTTATTATTATTATTGAATATAAAAGAATGATAACAGATAACACCAAAAATGACAACACAAATATATCAAAATCATTTTGAAAATCATAGCTAAAATTCCGCTCTACACCGCACGCCTATGACCTCCGTCAGAAATAAACAAATAAAATAAAATTTCGGCGCTCCTGCCGTTTAATGACAGCGTTATGACAAAATGGTAGCCCCTAATAATGGCAGCGTGCGCAGAAAAGATGCGCGTGAGAGTTAGCCTGCTGATTGTTTTTGTATATGCTGTGTTATTATTATAGGCATTTGGCTTATAAAAAGGTAAAAAGTTTGGATAATTTAATACATGTTTTTGTTATTGAAAACCCAGAAAGAGCTGAACAACTGCAGTTGAATAATGTGCAACGACGTTAAAGAAATGCGTTTTTGTGTCATCAGAAAGACAGTTCCCAAATATTTTCGGCTTTCAAAAGCTTTAACGCAATATTTGATGCAGTTATTCACTCCTCACTTGAGATTCTGGGACCCTGGCTATCACTTTTCTTCGACATCTTTTTAGTTTTTTTGTTATTTACATAATTTCAGCACAAAACTGGTAACGTCAAGATTGTCAAATTAAATGGGAAATGGTTATGTTTTATGCAATGAACTTATTTACCGACAGCGACTGGTACTAGGCTGTTGTCATGTCGTACATTCGCTAATAAGTGAAGGCCCATCCTCAATCAATTTGATAGCGAAGTGGCAATTCGGCACGCAAGCTAGGAAAATGTTGTTTAAGCAGCGTTTTCCTAGCAACGCACATTTTACGCGGCGTAGAACGTAATTCGGTCGGCGTAAAACGCTGAGGACATGTCTAATGAAAATCAAATGGAGGTGTTTTCCTACACCGCGTAAAAACGACTTGCGCTAGCGTAATACGGTCGACGCAACTGAACGACTGCTCGGAGAGCAGTCTATTCAGTTGTACGCTGCGTGTTGGCAAAGAAAATGCTCCTTGTATTATATTTACATACCTCAATGTTAGGCCAAGCTTTTAAGGTGGCGAAATAGGATGTCGCACGCGATTACCATGATTCCTTACTTAAATCTTTTCTCACAAGATTGAGGAGAAATGAGATTTGCTGCCTTGTAACTATAAAATATGCTTTTCAAATTTTACTTCGTCGTCGAGATGTTTATGGATAAGTATCTCTAAATGCTCCTTCGCTTCTTCTTTTTTGAAATAATTGACTAGCAGAATTTCTAGTCCTATCATAAATCGTAACTATTATATCAATCTCTTCTTGCAAATTTTCATCTTGTAATAATAGGGCTGTTTCTGCAGAAATAATAAACCAGTCAGAGTGAATTTCATTGGTTGAAACTAGTTTTCTGACTGTTTCTGATTCTTTTCAACCAATGAAATTCGCTCTGACTGGTTTGTGATTTCTGCAGAAGCAGACATAATAATAAAGCCTCGAATAAAACTGTAGCGCTACTTTGGTTTTCCAGGAGGAAAGCGGTTGATTTCGGAATTTTCGGAAAACTCGGGCGCCACCCTTAGGATTAATGTGGTTAAGGGCCCACGTGCTCTAGGTAGCTTTTAAACAGTGGAGACGGAAAACCAGGTGTCCCTACGCATTTCCCAAAAATGAAACACACAATCCAACCAAGAAAGTAGTTTTTATTGACTACCCAATAATTTATAATACAAAAAGGAAATGCAAGAAAACTTAATTAAGATACAGGTTTAATAAAAGGAAATGCTAAGCGGAGAGTGAGGGGGAGCGAACGAAGTGCGTGTGCGTGACGGATTAGTCGCGTGAATTTAACGGTTCGAGATTACGGTACGGTGACGGTTACGGTAACGGTTAATCGGCAAAAGAAAGCTCCAGGAACCAGGATCGGTCCAGTATCTACACCGTCAGCTTGCAGGATTAGGCCTTTGGGCCTCGTGCGCGAATTTCTTACTCCGAGCAGAATGCAGGTCAGAGAGAATAGGTGTGAAGAGTAAAGAGCACTACCCTGGTCGTATCACAGCCCGTAGCCCTATTTACTCTGTCACGGAACGAACGGAGCTGCCCTGTTTATGTGTTCCAGCCCGCAGTTCCGGTCACTCCGTGCACAGAAGAGAGAAAGAAGAACTGTGTAGAATAAAGCGCGCCACCCTGATACCAGCCCGTAGCGTGCGTTATTCTGCCACGGAATGAACAGAGCTGCCCTGTTTATGTGTTCCAGCCCGTAGTTCCGAACACTGCGTGCACAGAAAATAGAAAGAAGGACTGTGTAGAATAAAGAGCGCCACCCTGTCACCAGCCCGTAGCGTCCGTTATTCTGTCACGGAAGGAGCAGAGCTGCCCTGTCCGTATTCCAGCCAGCAACTCCGTTCAACCCGTGTACAGAAGAGAGAAAGAAGAAATGTGTAGAATAAAGAGCGCTACCCTGTCACCAGCCCGTAGCGTCCTTTATTCTGTCACGGAAGGAACAGAGCTGCCCTGTCCGTATTCCAGCCAGCAGCTCCGGTCAACCCGTGTACAGAAGAGAGGAAGAAGAAATGTGTAGAATAAAGAGCGCTACCCTGTCACCAGCCCGTAGCGTCCTTTATTCTGTCACGGAAGGAACAGAGCTGCCCTGTCCGTATTCCAGCCAGCAGCTCCGGTCGACCCGTGTACAGAAGAGAGGAAGAAGAAATGTGTAGAATAAAGAGCACTACCCTGTCACCAGCCCGTAGCGTCCTTTATTCTGTCACGGAAGGAACAGAGCTGCCCTGTCCGTATTCCAGCCAGCAGCTCCGATCAACCCGTGTACAGAAGAGAGAAAGAAGAAATACCTGCATTCTTACCCGTACTTACATTAAACGGTCGGCTAACATCTGGCGTCGCGGCGCTGCTGACGGCGGCGGTACTGGCGGCGGCGGCGGTGGTTTTACCTTATCGGTCGGCTGCGGCAGGTCGGAGCGGTCTGGTAGGTCTGGTCGGTTTCGGAGCTCGGAGAGAAGTGACCAAACGCAGTGCGTGCTGCTATATTTATAAGCGGGAGGCACCGCGTCATGTCGTCGTCGATCGGCAGCGCAGATATCAGCGGTGGGGAATTGAGTTTTTGAAGCGCGTCGCGCACGTCGGTTTGTACTGGAGAGTGCTTTGCAACCGAGGTCACGCGTAGCCACAAAATATCAGTAGCAAATTAATTTAATTAACGGAAACGCGGATAAATTAGTAAAAATCTAGTAACCTACGTTACACACCCCCTCCTCTTCGGAAAAAATATTTTAACCTAAAATATTTTATTAAATTAATTGACTACAATTCAAATACCATTGAATTCCCTAAAACAAAAATAATAAAAATGAAAATAAACTCACTAAAAAAAAAACTCTTCTTCCAAAGCTTCTAGCTGTGGACGATCCATTGTGTCGAGGATGGTTACAACTGGTGGCTCCTCAGGCGCCCCCTGGCACCTCACCAGCGATTCGGTTTCACCCCGGAGCCGGCACGGCTCGTGTCGTGGCTCATTTGTCCATAAGGACATCCACAAACCCTGCAGGGCCGGAAACGGAGAAGGGTCTTGCAACAACGGTCCCCTTCTTCCACTGTCGCTTCGTCGGTATGCCTGCGGGTACTGGACCGTCTGGGTGGGAGACGAGTCCCTTCACTCCCTTCGGGTAGGGCACGGTGTCGGCGAGTGTCCGAACCAGATTGTTCGGATTCGGAACGGAGTCGTGCGGATTGTTTGTTACTTGGATTACCCGAGGAGCGGGGCCTGGAAGCTTCAACTACCAAGCCGCCGACGGCTGCTTCCGGCGGAGAGGCCTTTGGCTTTTGTTTCGAGCACTGGCATTCTTTTGACATCCACCCCACGCGGCCGCAACGAGAACAAAACACCACTGGCTTGTTTTTGCAGGACTCCCGGCGGTGTCCAGGATGTCCACACCTCCAGCACAGACCGTGATCTACTGGTAAGTAGATGTCGTCGTTGGGGTGACGGGGGTTTGCGGTCGGCTTTCTAGCCGGGGTGTCGATTATTTGTTGCGAAGGGTGGTCGGACGTTACGGATGACGACGGTGCGGATACGGATGCGGATGTCCGACGGTGTTTAGATGTTGTGGATGGCGGGCTAGGGGAGCGGCCGTATACGGTCTGTCCAAAAGGATCGTCGAAGGGGTCGAACTGGTCGAAGTCGGTATAGAACGGTTCTGGTGAGCGCCGTACGGGTGGGTCTACGGAATCAGCTCCCGAGTACAATGATTCGGTTCCAGCTTCGACTGTAGACGGTGAGTCTTGCCTTGGAGCGGTTTTTAGCAGGGTGTTCGGTGACGGTATATTTTCGGTATTCGGTAGCGGTATATCTTCGGTATTCGGTGGCGGTAAATCTTCGGTGTTCGGTGGCGGTATCTCTTCGGTATTCGGTGGCGGTATATCTTCGGTGGCATCTGCCATTGCGTCACTGATGTCCCGTTCGGGACTACTCAGGCGTATTTCCAACACCGGACTCGTGGACATCTTCGATCTGGAAAAGAAAACGGTCATAGCACTGAAATAACAAAAAAAAAAAAAAAACGGATTCCTGGAGCTTTGGTTATTGACCGGAAAACGGAAGACGAATTGCCCATAGAATAAGAATTACCCAAACGAAACTTTTATTCTTGAAAACAAAACGGAAAATAACAAGTGCACTCTTAATAAAAAATATAACAAAAGGAACGGAGTATTCTGATATCACAAAAGAAAATGCATTCTAGCAGGATAAATATCACATAATAAAATAAAACGTATTCTCGGAGGAAAAGGGCAACTTATAGCGGCGTGGACGGAACGGAAATAAAGACGGAGGATCCGTCACGGGCCCTTAGGCGGAGACGGTATCGGCGGTAGTTCTGAGTATCAGACGGTCGGAGTCGCATCAATGCGGCCCTATATGCGGCTGGCCATGAGTGGCAGTCGCGGTTGCGTCGAGCCATATCGGCCACATCCGCCTCGGTAGGCGATTCAATTTCTTGGGCGTGTTCCTCTGGGAGCCGGTCATTCGGAGAAATTGGGGCTGGTGTTTGTACGGCTCTGGGTGGCTCCAGGCTGTGGGGCTGTGCGGAGCTGCCGTCGGTACGGACCTGGTCGGCCGGAGTCATTACGGCTCCAGGTGGCAAGGGGAGCTCCATAATTCGTCGGGGTGGTCTAGGGTGACCCTTCGCAGACCACCAAGCCCACAAATTTGGGTGAAGACGCGACCAATATGTTGTCCCCGGAACTTCGCCCTGCGGCTGCGAAATGTTATCCGGGCGGCTGGTAGAGGGTAGCACGACCCTGCGGCCAGTGACAGTGGCCGGGGCGGAGGTAGTTGGGCAGTGTGGGGCCGGAATCACTAGTTCGGACAAGATCCGTATCTTTCGTGCGGGGGAACGGCGGGATTCAATGCGACTCGGATCGGTTACTGGCGGACGGCGGTGTTCGATACGACTCGGAACGGTTACTGGAGGACGGCGGGGTTCGTTACTGTTCGGAACGATTACTGCGGGACGGCGGTGTTCGGTACGTTCCGGAACGGTTGCTGGCGATGGAATGCTCGGCCCAGGTCTCGGGGACGCGTCAGCGGTTACGGTGGAGACGCGTGCTCGTGGTGGGGGACCGGAGAAGCGGGAGCGCAGTGCGCGCGCTGCCCGTCTGACCGTGTTCATGCGGATTTGCGCTTCCCGCGCTCGGCGGGCACTATCCCGTCGGGGAATGAAAACCTGTGCAGGATCTGGCCGTGAATGTCTTGGCGGATCCATGACTATTACGATCTAGAACGGAAGAGAAAGAAAATTGTTACACGTAGGCCGGCTTAAGGTCTTTAATATGAATATGTCGGAGCTTTCTACCGGAACCGTCCCGTAAATCGTAAACCACGGGTGACACGACTTTTGTTACGGTATAAGGTCCGGAGTATTTCGGTGCTAGCTTTGCGGCAAATCCTTTAGCTGCGGAGGAGAGCGGATTCTCCTTTCTCATTACTTGATCTCCTACATGACATTTCCAATCTCGGCGGCGCAGGTTGTAGTTATGGCTCTGAGCCGTGAAGGCTCTGCCAAGATTGACACGGACGAGTTCAAACACGTCCTGCAGTTGTTTCAAACGTCCAGATCGTGCGATGACGTCAGCAGGTTCGGTATCTTCCGGTTGAGCATCTTCCGGTACGGGATCACGGTATAACGCTTTGGGCGGATCTAGTTCTCGTCCAAAATTCAGGAAAGCTGGTGAAAATCCGGTTGAATCCTGTCGGGAACTATTCAGAGCGAAAGCGAGTTCCGACAGGTGGGCGTCCCATTTCCGGTGATTCTCGTCACAAAACTGGGCGATCATGACCTTAATTGTTTTGTTAGTGCGTTCTACAGGATTCGCTTGGGGAGTGTAGACTGGGGTAAGGCGGTGAGCGATACCCATTTCCTGTAGAAGCTCTTTGAACGGTCGGCCGGTATATTGGGTTCCATTATCCGTCAGGACAGTATGTGGACACCCAAATTTAGTGATCACCTGCTCGTAGAGAGCCTGTGTAACTGCTCTGGAAGTTGCTTGTCGGATCGGTCGGCACTCTACCCATTTTGTGAATCGGTCCTGGAACATAACCAGGAAGTTATTACCTTTCGAGGATCGAGGTAAAGGGCCTATCAGATCGGAAGTGACGGTTTCCCATGGTTGTCGGTTTCGGGACGGGTGCATCTTACCGGGAATCTGTTGTTGTGACGGCTTATACCGTTGGCAGGATTGACAGCTTCTAACATAGCGTGCTATATCTCTCATCATTCCTGGCCAATAGTATTTACGGCAAATTCTGGATGTGGTTTTGGCAATGCCTCGGTGTCCGGCCATAGGGGAGTCATGATTTTCTTCCATAATGGCCGGGCGGGCGTCTTTGGGAACGCAAAGTTTCCACGGATCGGATAATTCGGTTTCGGATAGATCGGTTAAGTCCCAGAAATGTCGGTATAGTTGCCCATTTTTAACACAAAAGTCTGGAAAGGCGGCGGAATTGTTTTCTACGGAAGTTTTCTTTGCCGTGTACCAAGCACACGGTGCGAAATTTTCTAGACTTAAAATCGGTTCCGGTTCGAGGTATTCCTCGCCAGGTATCGGGTCTCGGGATAGAGCATCAGCAACTTTATTGAGGACTCCTTTGCGGTATTTGATCTCAAAGTCAAATTGCTGTAGATAAATGCTCCAACGAGCTAGTCTTCCGGACGGACTTTTCATCGAATGCAGCCATTTCAAGCTTTGATGATCGGTAACGACGGTGAATCGGTAGCCTTCTAGATATGGTCGCATCTTCTCGATTCCCCAAACGATTGCGAGACACTCTTTTTCGGTGACGGAAAACTTTTTCTCTCCTGGACTGAGAGTACGGCTGGCGTAAGCTATGACATGGTCGCCATCGGTTCCATGTTGTATCAATGCCGCACCTAACCCATTATCGGATGCATCGGTCTGCAATACGAAAGGCTTCGAAAAATCGGGACAAGCCAATATTGGGGCTTCGGTGAGGCATGTTTTGAGTTTTTCGAAAGCCGCTTGTTCTACCTCGGTCCAAGTCCAGCGGACTCCTTTCTTGAGTAATCGGTTTACCGGGCTGGCTACTTGGGAAAAGTTCGGTACAAAACGGCGGTACCAAGAAGCCACGCCTAAAAAGCGTCTCAAGCCTCGAAGGTTGGTGGGAGCGGGAAGCTCACGAATGGCGGCAACTTTGTCTGGATCGGTTCGGATACCTTCGGAAGTCACAAGGTGACCAAGATAACGGAGGGAGCGTTTCCCAAATTCACATTTATCGGGATTTATTCTCAAATTGGCTTCCCTCAGACGACGGAATACCTCTGCCAAATTGTTGAGATGTTCCTCAAAAGTTTCGCCGAGAATAATGATATCGTCCAGATATGCAAAACAGAAATGATCTAATTCGGGTCCTATTATTCGGTCCATCAGTCTCTGAAATGTAGCAGGAGCGGAGTGTAATCCGAACGGCATTACACGAAACTGGTAAAGACCCATGCCGGGTACGGTAAAAGCGGTGACGGGTTTGCTACTTTCAGCTAGCGGTATTTGCCAATATCCTTGTTTTAAATCGATGCTAGAGATGTATCGAGCCCGGCGGAGTTTATCCAGAATGGCATTGATGAATGGCAAGGGGTATGCATCCTTTCTGGAAATGGCATTGACTTTCTGAAAGTCAATACAGAACCGGTACTTGCCATCTTTCTTTCGGACAATTACCACAGGAGAGCTCCACGGACTGGCGGACGGTTCGATGATTCCATCATCTAGCATTTTTTTAACTTCAGTGTTCACGATTTCTTGCATGCGTGGATTTTGCGGTCGGTAACGCTGCTTTATCGGTTCGGGATTTAGTAGATGGACATGGTGTTCTACTAAAGGTGTCGTGCCTTTAATTTGTTCAAACTTGGGCAATTGTTGATCTAAAAATTCGGTTAACCTTTGCTCTTCTGTTGGTGTTAAAACGAGGCTCGGTTTAGAATCTATGGGTCCGATAGGACTGCATAGGGTCGGAAACGGTAAAAGCTGATTGCCTAGGCGGACTTCCCCGGTACCTAGATCTAGATGGAACTGGTGGCGGTTTAAAATATCCATTCCAAGTACGATTTCGGATGTCAGCTTTGGGAAGTAGCTGAGGGATTCTACCAAGGTGATATCTCTGAATTTCAGCGGTATCTGATAGGCTTCGGAGATGTCAATTATACCACCATTGGCTACTTTAGCACTGCGGACAACCGGTGGTACTCTCGGGTAATGGTTCAGACGGCATATATCGGCAGCGATATCCCCGATATACGAATTAGCAGCTCCGGTATCTATCAATGCTAAAAACGGGGCATCATCAATGTAGATGCATACATGGGGTCTAACGTCTGGGAGGCGAATCAAGTTCATTTCGTTCGGAACGGTTCGGGTATTAGGTGAGGTCTTCGGCGGACGGTGCTGGGCTGACCTCTGATTAGGACAGCACCTTCTTAGTTTCCCGAATGTGAACGTGAACAGTTGCAAGTGCAGGCTCGGGACATTACGCCATTTTTCCCGCAACGGGAGCAGAATAGCTTAGCAGTGCCTCGACACTCGGTTCTAAAGTGTCCGGTTTCCCCACATCTCCAGCAAAGCTGTCTTGTGGTTCGGTCATCTGCGTTATCGGACCTACGGTTTCGGTTGCCAAATTCCATTCGATTAGGCGTTTCGGTTCGGTCTGGTGTACGGGGTTGGGTTACGGAAAGACCAGCTGGTGGTGAATTCGCTCTTCGGGAAGTGAACGGGGCGGCCTTTAGCTCGGATAGTAAACTTTCAATTTCCCTTACGGTGCGGGAAAATGAAACCACATCGGTGACGTCACTTTTGCGAATATGCTGGCGGTAGTCGGGTAATAGATTCCTGTACAACCACTGAAGTTCTTGTTCTGGAGTTATGCCACCGTGCCTTCTGATAAGCGTCTGTAGATCGGTTATATAACGGTGCGGCGGTTCATGCGGTTTCTGAAGGCGGCGGCTAATTTCGATTTCTAGATCGGCGGCATAATTAATCGGAAAGTAAAAACTTCGGAAATCTCGCAGGAACTCATCCCAGGAATTCCAGTGTGCTCGGTTATTTCGGTACCATAGGGATGCATCCCCTTGTAAAATTTCGGGCATGTGTGGTAATAAACGGTCTATGGCAATCCCTTGGGAGGCACAAATTTCCTGGAGCCTTTCGATGAATGTCACTGGGTCGGTTCGACCATTGAAATTGACATTCCATTTCTGCACCTTCAGTGGTATTATCGGAGATCCGGATGTGACTGGAGAAGACAGCGGTCGGTGAACGGTAATAGTCGGTAGCGGCGGATTAGGTATTTGAGTTGTAACCGGCGTTCCAATATTTGCGGTACTGGTTTGAGCCTGGACAGCGGTACCACTTGCCTGCGTTGGATGCATACTGGCAAATGTCGGGAAGATGAACCCTGTCATAGTAGTCGGTGCTGGTGAAGCCTTTCCCTGGCGATAAAATGTTACCAGTCGCTTCTTCAACGTGTCAACGGTACCCGTAGTATCTAGTCCGAATTTATTTAGTTCCGCAGTCAGTTCATCCTTCTTTAATAGGTAGACAAAACCAACACGGCCATCGTTGGGATCGTACCAAGCGGGGTAAGTGGTTATGGATACACTAACGGGCGGATTCACTGGACTGGTTGTCACTACGGTAGAGGCGGCGGTATTCGGTGTACTAGTAACTGGTGGGTTGCCATTGTTGCCGGTGCCTCCTGGCATCGTAATTTGGTCGGTAAACGGTAGCGGAAGATAGACTAAGGGCTCAAATGACAACGGCCTTCAGCGGCTAGTTAACAGCAGGTTCGTTAGCAGGCTTACGGTTACGGTTACTCTCGGCGGTACGGTACGGTTAAGATTCGGAATGTTTTCGGCGGCGGTCGGAAGAAAAAAAATAAAAATAAATAAAAATATTCAGGTGGACGGTGGCTCAAGACTGACCAAGTGATCAGGTTGACGGTCGGACGGTAAGTGTTTGGAAAATATTTCGGTGAACGATTGAGTCTAGAGTGGCCAAGTGATCACCTCGACGGTCGGGCGGTAAGTGTTGATGTGTTCAGCTTGACGGTCTGACGGTAAGTATCTGAAAACTATTCGGGTTGATGGTCGGACGGTGAGTGTCTAAAGTGCTCAAGTGATCAAGCGATCAGGTTGATGGTCGGACGGTGAGTGTCTGAAGTGCTCAAGTGATCAAGCGATCAGGTTGATGGTCGGAC